AGATATTAAGTCCCATGTAGCCCATTTGTGGCACCTTAATTCAATTTTGTTGACGTTGTTGTTGTGACTGTGTTTGATGTGAACATATTTCAAAAGACAAGAAATAAAGAAGAAATTTCGTTTTTTCGGGACTCCACTGAGGTTTTTTTGACATGACGGGACTGGAAATAATTTTTTGAGATTATTACTCCATTTGATGTAGATCTATACTAATAACTTATGTGCAAAATTTCAGATCATTAGCTTGCTCCGTTTTTCCAGAATAATTATTATAATAGTGAAAAATGACCCAAAATTGAAAAGCGTTTAAACGCTTTTCACTCAAATCGGACTAAGAATAGCACAAACATATTATTTTCAATGTATTTCTTCTATATTTCTTGGTTACATTTTATTAATATTTATGTTTTAAGTGCTCATGTTTATCTATGTGAAAAATAAAATTTCATGTTTTTAGCCTTATAAACCTCAGTGGAGTTCCTTTAATAAGCTGATTGAGTTGCAACAGACTAACAAATATTTTCATAACATGTAATGAAACAAACAAGATCGAGGAAACGTACCAAGGTTATATTGAATATTTTAACAAATGATAAGAAAATTATGAATAAAAATCGTCATGATATACATAAAACCGACCTACTGCCACTGCATGTCTAGTGTCAAAAAATTGATTCTCTCAGAGTTCAAAATATATATATATTTTTTTTGCGAACCTTATTTGGTGTTTACTGTTTTATTCAATGCTCAATATACATACAAAAAAGAAAATGATATGATATAAACTTTTCTTTACTTTAAATTTAGTTTTTCCAAACATCAGTATATATATATATTCTAACAATTGTAGTGAATATGAACATTTTGATACAAAGGAAACATTTAATTAGATCAATATTCTCAGCATGCATCTAACTACAAATCACTCGAGTTAGCGTTTTAAAGACCTGGCCTAGAGGTTATAAAGAAATATTTTCCAAGCTCAAACTCAGATCTCAGTCATTTGATTGGTCAGAAACTGTTACAGAATGTACACTAACCAATGAAAATCCAGGGATTTGAGACAGAACTCTGAAAGAAGTTTTATAATCACAAAGCCAGAACTCATGGGTCAAATCTCGTAATATCTGCATTTTAATGTCAATAAATATTCGTAAGGCATACACGATTATATTCCTCAGCATCTATGTTGAAATGGCAGATTTTGGCATCTTACTTTAATATTTTCATTACTTAAACTTTAAAGATTATTACAGAAATTTCTTGAAATCTTCACGTGACTTTTTACCCCGTCCCATTATAACGCTACTCCTTAAAAAAGAATGAAATTACTACGAGACAGAACTCTTAAGACTATAAATACAAACAGAAAATACAGAACGGAATATACAACAACAAAAAACTAACTGAAAAAAGACTAAACAACAGTCTTAACGGAGTAGTCTACAGGACACTTAATAACCCTGACGGAACGGATTTACAAGAAATTCAGGAAATGACAAAATACATTACGGAAGAGACAAGTAAGTAGACAATAAGTGCTGGAACAGAAACGGAACAGATAATAAAGACATGACAGAAAAACAGGTACTTATCTGTCTGCAACTGGTAGGGCATTCGATATAATAATGGGACGGGGCAAAAAGTGACGGGGCAGATAGCAAAGCATTCCACAAACGTCAGCAACAACAACAAAACTTAGAAAATGGGAAGGCAAGTAGAGAGATACTTGGTACATCAGGAAACAAGACACGAACCAGATCATAGAAAAAAGATTTAAAAAGGACAAGAGAAAACTTAACAGAAAAAACAACAAAAGTAAAATAAATACAGAAACCGTACATCGATATCGGTATACGCAACAACGGAAAAGACAATAGAACCGGAAATATGTTACCAACCAAACAGAACAGTACATACTAACAAAGACATAGAAACTAAACGGAAAACCACATACAAAATAAAGAAAAATGCAATGAATCAAGACACATATACTTCTGACATATATTCACCTCCAAACAACTGCCTTGAATGTTTGCAAAGTCTGGTTCCCTGTCTTTAATACTAGGGTGCCGAGATAGCTCAGTTGGTTAGACCACTGACTGTCACTGAGGTCCTGTGTTCGATCCTGGATATCCTTGGGATTCTTCAGAGACACTTTTCAGTGTTTCAAACCTACCAAGACGTGAACTGGTAAGAAATCCATGTAATCCTCGCATGTATCAGTGCTATACACTGGGCATGTAAAAGAACCAAGGGATCTAATTAATAAGAGCTAGGGACAGATATTAATGAAACAGAGTTTCTCAACAAGCTATTTGCATGTAAATAAAATGTACTGGAAAACATATTTTACACTCAACCCTCCATTTATGAACAATTATCGAAATAATGTGACATTTGTATAATGTTCGTTAAGATATTACATGTATATCCAAACAAACAATAGACCCACGTGGGATTCAAAAGATGTACCTTTCATATTATCACCAATCTCATTAAAATCATATCCTAACTATCGCTTCACTACCCTACGCTCGTAAGAGTAACGGAGCGAAAACGATGATCTGATTTTAATGAGATTGATATTCTCATATACCCAGATACTTGATATTGAAAAAAAAATCGACTTCCTTTGGGTTCTTATGCAAAAAACTGAGAGAAAAACAATTAAGTCAAATGTAACAGGTGTGTGACACTTAAGTTTAAATTGGTTAATTTCTTTTGTTATAATTGTGTTTACTGTGAGCTTTGACCATTCGAGTTTACTAAGGTTATAAAATAAAAAGTGTGCTGCATTAAACAATTGAAAAGAAAAATTGTGTTGCGGGAAAGAACATTTCTTATCTATGACTTGAGTTGACTAAATATGAATTTAAACAACATACTTATATACTTATGTTTAGCCCAATAGTCGTTTAACTAATGTTGTATTCTTATTATTTAATTAATTAACTTACTAACTAATCCGTTTTAATTTTACAATTTCATAAATAATTATTATTGTGTTTAGTATTGATGGCAAACCTTTCAATTCAATATTTATGGCAAATCTTTCCATTCAAATATCATTCGTAAAAAGTTATACCGAAATGATAATTTTAAATTTGAATGATTTTGTCCTCATAACGTTCGCAAAATTGTTTTAAACATCTGACTTCGACTTCTTTCTGCTTTTTACGCTTCAAATAAAACAGTTCTTTTAGTGAAAGTTCTAAAATGACAATGTTATGCTATTAGTGGACCACATTCAATTCTTAGTAACATCAATTTCTAACAGATAATGTTTAGGTATTTAATGACCATATCTGCATTGTTGGTACCTATTCTTCGTCAATAATTCCCTTCCTCGTTGCATATCATTGTCTTTTGAGGAGGAGAAGGGGGATAAAGGGTTGTATCCAAAAAACATTAGACTCAAAAAGTTAACGAGATTCAAACGCTTTAAGTCATTGTTTGAGAGTCAGTTATTTCCCTGCCAGAGTCTAAAAACATGCTCACATCAAAATGAAAATGTCACACTTGTACTTTTTCTTTAAGCAAGTCAACAACATAATTGCAATTCTCAAATATTCCCTGTTGCATAGTAAACAAGACTTATTTTGACTTCTATGATAATACGACACCCAATTAAAAGGACTCTAATGTTAAAATTGAGAAGATGTTAAGTCCCATGTAGCCCATTTGTGGCACCTAAATTTATTTTCGTTGACGTTTTTGTTGTAACTGTGTTCGATGGGAACATATTTCAAAAGGCAAAACATACAGAAGACATTTCGTTCAATAAGAATTGCAACAGACTAACAAAATATTTTAATAACATGTAATGAAACAAACAAGATCGAGGGAATGTGCCAAGATTATATTATTTTAACAAATAATAAAAAAAAATTGAGCCAATTTTTCAAAACGTATAAAATTATTTTGAACGATCTGCAGATTCCTCTGCCGATAGTGAATTCAAAATGTCGGACATGTAGACATGAAATATAAAACAGATCCAGAACATATGTGGAGTATCATAATCTCAATAAAGTAAACTTTTAGAAAAAAGACGAGATATATATTGACTTAAACAATGATGTACTACAAAATTTATTTTACAGCAGGTTTTACAACATTTTCTGCCATTTTTTATTTAGTATCCAATGTGCTTAAGATATGGTAATATTTTATATGATTTTTATCAACCGTTATAATAATTATTATCTCTTATAGGAAGTGTATTACTGTTTAACAATCTTTGTATCTTATTTGATAATATGTGACTTAATAACCGCCTTAATAGTCCCCTTTCGAATTCTACTTGATTTAGTTTCGGCAATGGCTTTCTCGTTTAGGGAGCACATAGTTTTTTACTTGGAATGACACGAACCTTTCCTGTTTTTGTATAATTAATAATTAAACATTTTTTACTAGTTTAAATCTTAATTATGATAAACCTTTAGTATAATCCATATCCAAAATACAAAAATATCGGTTCGTTTCTGTAAAAAAAAAATAATAATAAAAATGTTTCTGCTAAATTTGTATGTTTATTGAATGGTCTGCTCAAACACTATTCATTAAAACGCAAAGGTGCTTTTTGAAGAGGAAAAGATCGGGGGCATTTACTAGAGCTAGATTTTAGACTTGACAACATCAGAACTGTTCTTGAAAGCACACAAGTCCATAAAAAACAGAACAGTACATACTTACAAATACACATACATAGATACTAAACAACAATATGTCACATATGTTCACCTCTATTTACTACGGAAAGTAACAAAAATGTACCTATCTCAAGATAGGTTCTAAGATAGATTGGCAATTTTGTTTGTTTGTTTTTAGTTGTTGTTTTTTTTTCCTTAGAATTCTGATCCAAACCGCACCACCGCAACATATATGACACGTGCTGAACCAGTTTTTTATGACTGCATTACTTATACGCAATTCTGTTATGCTACGTCATGGAGATAAGGCGGATAAATCGTTCAGGTGTATTCTTACGGCGACACCGTCGGCAAAAACAACAACAACAATGGCAAGCGGCTCTGACGATATTAGATCTGTTTTTGAAGCAGCTACAGAATATGTCAGAGATAATACGAGTTCTTTTGATTCAGACACGTTACTTAAATTATATGCTAGATATAAACAGGTTTGTTAAGCTTCGTCGTTATTAAGCAATTGAAAAATATAAAAAGAAACGAAATATGTATTTAGTTTTCGCGACCCTTTATGTGATACAAATCAGTCAAACGTATTAATTAATACCAGTTATCTATTCAAAAGGTGCTGTAATTTCAATTTTCAAGTTGTGAAAAGACATGATTTAAGTCATGGCTAACTGTAGAAGTTTTGACCTTTTATTTTTAGAAAGTTGACTTTTATCTGTCCTGTCCGGTTTGCTCAATTGATAAAGCATCTGACTGTGAGTCGGATGACCTAGGTTTGAGGCACAGTCTGTGCAGGTCACTTTCGTTGTGAATGATTAATATGAAATTAGGCAATGCCTATGAACGGGGAAGTCGTTAAAAATTCCTTTCATTCTTTCCGTTTTAAAGGTGTCATTCGGTATTACATGCACCGCTTCCGTTTTCACTCGGAACACTCGACGATTATCATTTATCCGAAAAGTTGAGATTTGTTCCGTTATCGGAATACCCCGCCTATTATCATTGAGTTACATTGTAAATGGCGGCGCCCGACTAGAACTGACACTGAAAATTTCATTGATAGGTATAGAATTCTATATATTTTTTAATTGTTTTTTATTTGATTTTCTTTTAAATATACACGTGTAGTCTATAGCCGGGCAAGCCAAAGCCCGGGCCCGCTTTGCGGCCCGGTCTTTGACTTCCCCGTATGAATACCGTTCTAATATTATTGGCACAGTACCTCAGATCATGTATAGAATCATCAGTTCCTTGTCAGGGGTTTACTTAAGGTTTTGACTTTCACTTGCCCGAAGGGCAAGTAACTTTTCAAATCTACTTGCCCCCAGGAAAAACAGGTTGCCCGATCTTAATGTGAAGATTTTTAATAATCAAAGCAAAAATTATGGGTAAAAATAAGATTTGTTGCAGATCCTATCAACTTATGCCTCAGATAGTAAAATAGTCCTATTAAATTCCCTACTGTATATGTTTTTTGCTAATTCACAATAGTCTAGGGGTCGACACAACTTTGCCAGGGATCCAATAGAAATCCCTGAGATTTAATTTAGAAAAACTCCTAAATGTCAGGGATTCCTCACATCAAAATAGTAAAATGAAAGTGAAGATTAACAATAGTCATGATCTGTTAAGGCTTATAAAAATTACAGGTAATAATTAGGCCCTATTCCAGGTGCCTTTAAAATATATTCACATTCAGATGCTATCACCTTATTACAACTTTAAAAAGGAAACAGTACATCGATTGTTGAAAATTGTGATAGGATTTAAATGTTTATTGTTGATTTCAAACAATGTAAAATATCAAAAATATGTTTGCTTTGTTTGCATTACCAAACTAGTTATGTACCTTTCAAATTTATTTCATTTTTAAAAACAACAAGTTGCTCCAAGTCCATGACAGGATGTGTTATACTCAATTTAAATTGATCTGTCTGATTCCTATCCTCCCTGCTTGTATTGAAATTTATTTGAAGTTTTAACATCTGTCACATCAAAGGGACTCACCGCATGCAGTAATCATACAGTTCAGAGCACTGACTGGTTCAAAGAACTGTCAGACGAAATATACGTCATTTGCTGTATGTTTCACCTAAGGAGATTTTTTCTGTTTTGGTCGTAAATTAGGCATGACCTAGAATGACCTCAGATAACTTATAGTTACACAATATGCTGTGATTTACCAAAAAGGATTTTAAACATTTTATGGATTATTTTATTCTGTTTATTAATAGATCTAGAATATTTTTAAACATTGCTGTAGGGGAGAAAGGAAAATAAATTAACAACAGTTCAAGACTATTGTGATTTTTCGTCAAGATTTGTGTAAAAATGATTACTGGTGACGAATTTTAAAAAAATTCTATAGGCCTATTGCAAATGAGTTGACGCCAGTTAGTTAAATTCTGACCGTATGAAGAAAACAATAGCGTACAGGATTCAAAGGAGTAGATTTTTACGGCCCAATGTTTCTGTTCTTTCTTGAACCTTGCAGTTGTGTCAGTCTTTATTGACATAACTCATCTTGAATTTTTGTGATTTTATGCTTTTTATTCAGAAAATCAGATAATTTCTTTGCCGTGGCTTTTTCTTTAATCGCTGCAGACTTTTTTCTTTTAAAAATGGGAAAACTTTCGGCGCCGCCCGCCATTTTGAAAGGAAAGCAAAATGGAAAAAGTTTTTTTTACGTAATTTGATTGGTTGATAGGAGTCCAACTACAATCAGAAACAGTTAAAATACACTTGTTTGACTGTAATATGAACGGAAAGAAAAGTATTATCGGCAAAGGATATCAAAGCTAATAGAAGGCATAACGAAAATTCACTTGCCCGCCGGGCAATTTGCTTTCAAATTTCACTTGCCCGCAGCGATTTCTACCCGACGCGGGCAAGCGGGCGTCCGCTTAAATAAACCCCTGCTTGTGATAGTGAAGGCAACTATGAACTAGTATTGCCTATTGGTAAACTGCTTTACCCAGGAATGATGTGGTGGCTGAACTGTGCTCTGGTGAATTCAAAGTGGTTTTCTGCCATGATCCAGAGGGTAAACTAGTTAAAACTACCAACACCACCAGTGACCACAGTTGACTTGAACCTAATATTTTGTATAGACACTAAATGTATGAACCACTAATGCCCATGTGAGTTGTAATTAGTGCTGGGTTGCAAATACAACATCCTGGTGATTATATAATTATATTATATATAATTTTGGCAGATTTGCAAAGTAAAAAAATTCAATGTATATCTTGAAGTAATTACTTGTTAAACTAAGTGAACAATTCAATTTGATCTTAAAACTAACTAACATTACTTGATGGTGAATAATGATTTCAAGCTGTTTAAAAATGAATATTGACAGATCTAAACAACCATTTAACCCACTCAAATATTGCCATCAGTTGAGTTTGAACAAAATTGATATAAATATAGCAACAATAGATTTAAAACAAAACATAAAAACATATTTATAAATAGATATATTTATGTTGATTTTTCAGCATTTTTTTACTTAAAATTTTGAAGTGTTGACTTTATCAGTTTATCTAGTATCTTGGTGAATATATGTTTTGGGTACCTCATTCAGAGCCTTATATTATAAAATACCCATTTTAATATAGATAATTTGTACAGTGCTGCATAAAATCTCAAGCCAAAAAAGTTTGGGAATAAGTTATAATAATATACATAAGGTAGATATTGTAAAAACTGTAATCTAGTGTTAAAGTATTCTTTCCATAATAAATATTTTTATTATATCTAAAATATTGAGGTACAACAAATTTTAATGTATTTTTATTTCTAGGGTTACATAATGCTTTGTTTGTATTTGATCAGCTGTGATTAAAGAAAAACATTTTTACACCAGTAATTTTTTAACGTAAGGATATGTCATTTTCTAATATAATAAATAATTCATTTCATGATTTTAGGTAAAAGAAGGAGAGTGCAACACTCCAAAACCCGGATTTCTTGACTTCCAGGGGAAACAAAAATGGTTTGTCATTTTCATAATATGTAAATTTATCTTGTACATAATTATGTACATATTTTTTTTATGTTAAAAGTTACATATGTGACTGGATTTAACCCTTATTTTAGTATTAAAATATGCATTTTTCTGCCTTTCTTTTACTGTATTCCATAAAAATGAACAAAAATTAATCAACAACCTTTAACTATTTCAAATAATTACTGGTAACATTTAGATTTCCAAGAAGTAAAAATGTGTTTCTATTTTAAGAAATGGTGTAATTAAAAGAATAATCTGACTTCCAAATCATAATTTATTCGAAGGTTACACAATGTATTTGAGTTCAACACTCTTGGCATAGAAAATTACAGAACTGTTAAAATAGTGTAATATGATGTATAATTTGTCATCAGAATACCTGACAAGCTGATTGACCCAGTCAGGCTTTTGATTTGCATGAGTTTTTTCATGATCAAAGGCTCAGTTGGCAATTTTTCTTTATTTTACCAGAGACAAATAAATACTTCTCTGTTGTTACAAAAGGCAACTTTTATTGGTGATAACAGGGATATCATAAGGGGCATTAAAATCTTCATCTGTACATACAAAATTTGATGTGTATCCATACATCATTACATGGGTATACATGTACCCCTTTTAAGACACCTTGTCAGTGTGACCTGATTAAAATAAATGATTTCATAATATCATAATTTACAGGTCAGCATGGAAGAAACTTGGAAGCATGGGAAAGCATGATGCAATGAGAGAGTACATAGATATAATAGCAAGATATGATCCAAAATGGCAGACTCAGGTACATTGAAACTTGGCCGGTATTTAACTTGGCCTCAAGGTTATAAACTATAAATTTAGACAATGTGCACTATTTTATAATTCTACATGCAAAGATTTAAGAATGTAGATGTATGTATCAATTTGTTTCTTATGTATAAACAGATTTGTATGACATAGATTAAGACTTGGTTACATGTTTATTAATTTCTCTTTGACTATTATAGAATCTGAATTATAACTAGTATATCATATATAATGGTGCATTTTTTCCAGGTATCTTATTTTCCCTATATAAGCCTGAACTAAATATCTCAAAAATTAGATCTATTAAACTTTATTTGGATTGAATACAAGAAATTTGCGAGTTTCTGTAACTGGGTTTCATACTTTCGTACTATACTACCCGGTTTAGTTGTAAACATTACAAGATGTGCTACCTAGGTGTCAGTGTACCAATATTTGATTTAAAAAAAACATAATTGCTTCAATGCTTATTAAAGGTATCCAAGAGTACGGACAAGCCAAGTAGTGGTAAACAAATGACACTAGGTGTGGCTGTTAGCACAATGATGAACACTGATAAAAATATTGACGATAGGCTGAAGACAATATTTGATTGGTGTAAAGATGGCGATACGAAACGTGTGTCCAAGATACTGGATAACAACAATGTTAATGTTGACGAGAAAGACTCGGAGGTTTGCCCATACTTGAAAATTTCAGTTTTCTTTTTAATAGGCCAGGATTTTTAATGAAATATGGCCCATTTGCACTTAAAAAACTTTCTTTGTCACTAGACAAGACTCACAACTTTGTCATATATTTTGAATAAAATCTTCCTGTTTGTTAATTCTTGCATTATCCAGGCCCTTGTTTTGCTATCAAGCACTGAGAATAGTCAAGCAGTCTGTCCTACTGACAGTTCTTTGTTTTCATAACCTCTGATTTGCGTGATATACATTTATTTACCAAACGTTCAATGTTCTTGGTGAAAAAAGATTAGGCTTTTAAATTTTGACATACTTCTGCAAAAACAGTGTCTAGTGTTAAAGCCATAAAATCAAAATAGGCTATAGCTAAGGTAACAAAAAGGCAGAAAAAAATCTTGTACAGGCATATTCATTATTGTATTTGCTATTATTTGTTATCTAGGGAATGGTGTTGCTACATTGGGCATGTGATAGAGGAGATACTGACATGGTGGCTACACTGCTAAAACATGGTGCTAATATTAATTCACAGGTTAGTCCCCCATTTTTAGTTGCACTTTTCAAAGATCAAGTTTGGCTATTTTTAGGAACCTTTGTTAAACCTTTTAGTTAGGTTTACGTTAATGGTCATTCACTTCAGTACTTACAATGCTACTACATTGAAACTTTAACTGTGGATGTAGCTTTGTGAGTTTGCCACACCTTTTGCAATATTCAAGAAAATTGTTCTTGATTCATAATGGTTTTCGTATCAAGTATGAACTAGATTTTTTGCAGCAAACCTGGGGAAGCAAGATCAATTGTCTGTATTGCCCAGGTTGTCCCACAGCCTTTAAGGACAAGTGGAAAATTTCAAGAATTAACTATACAGACAAGAAATGTTAAAACGGGCAAGTTAGTAAAATTCGGATTTTGCCCGCCCTGCAAACCTAGCTGCTGTGAACACTCAGTCACTGGAAGAATTGTTGAATGAAATTATTAGATTCGAGTGTTACATCCCAATATGTAATTACCTTTGAAATGACATATGTTTTATGTTTCAACTTTTGTAGGATGCCGATGGTCAGACAGGACTTCATTTTGGTGAGTTTTAATGTCTTGATTCCACATTTCATTATATGAATTTAAGGATAAAGTAGATTTGCTCCAACTTTCATACTAAAAATACAGACAAGTTTTTCTTATGAGACCAAAAAAACGGAGGTTCTGTGTAGATAAAACTTTACATGTTATAGAACCTGTTGTTTCTTTTTAAATGGAGTCATTTTCGCTCTGCCCTCATTTTGAAGTTGTGATATAGATTTACTGTTGTCTGTCCATCACGCTGTTTATCCATAGACTGACAAACTGCTTGATGGACAGACAGTAGAATGCTGGGACATTCAAGCTAACATTTGGATACCAATGTGGCGAGAAGAACAATAGGTAACATTAGTTTCACTTTGATGTCATTCATTCTGTAAGGCCTTTATGTGGCTAAAAAGAACAATAGAGTTGCCACATAAGAACTGTCTAGTTAGAACGTCTGTGTCCGTATTGCGTCCTCTGGACACATTTGTTTCGCTGTAACCATAAAATAAATAATGGTATTTCTAGCAGTCTTCTGGAGTGTGCAACATGTAAGGGTATTTGGTTTATACTGAATTTATTTTTAGTTTGATTGTGTAGGTAGCTTAAAGTTTATAGACACACTCTGAAATCTGTAACTGAAACCAACTAGTACTGAGCAATTAGTGTAAAGTTTCTTGCTCAAGAAAACAATGGCTTGCCTCTGGCAGGGTTTGAACCTACGCAGAAAATTATCCTTAGATTACTAATTTGGTGCGGTAACCACTCGGCCATGCCGCCTCTTAAGGGTATTTGGTTGTGACTGTAAGTAGAAGTATATGACACACTTGTATCTTTGACCATTGGTGAATACCTGCCCCAGTGCCTGTCGTTTAAATGTCATGGCATGCTTAAACCAACAATGTTGACAACAACAGAATTGATTTGTAAGGGTTGTTCATGGTAATTGATAGATGATATTTGTTTTTGTACAATTTTAGTCATGGTATATGAACAAAATGATATTTGTTTTTGTACAATTTTAGTCATGGTATATGAACAAAATGATATTTGTTTTGTACAATTTTAGCCATGGCATGTTAACAAGGTGATATTTGTTTTTGTACAGTTTTAGCCATGGCATGTTAACAAGGTGATATTTGTTTTTGTTTAATTTTAGCCATGGTATGTGAACACCCAGAGGTTGTGAGATTATTATTGACGAATGGTGCTAACACTAATATCCCGGACACGGATGGACAAACAGTTCAAAGTTTAATACCTGAAACAACGGCGGAGATTAAGCAGATTATTTCAAGTTTTCCAAACAGATGACATATTTTACCCTCAAAAATACATCTGTCTCTAGGAGTATAAGAGTGACCATTCTGTGATATTCTGTTATCTGGAGTAATTCTATTGAACAGGTGTAACTTTCTTGTGCTTTAAGCCGTATGGCTTATTATATTGAGGTGAACAAATGCTATTGGTTTGTTTGGGGAGGGGGGGGGGGGCGACTCAAGCCTCTAACCTACTGAATTTCTTTAGTGGGCGTGTCCATTTTCCATTTTTTTGGAATTGTCCATTATCAATTTTGGGGATATTAAGATGAAAATTGTAAGTAACTCAGTCAACTGTATAGAGTCTGGTTAGACTCCATGGATCCGCAGGCTGACCTGGCTCTATACTGGTGGCAAAGTGTAATCGCTTTTTGTTCAAGCATGGTTAGGAACTTAAACTTCCTGAGTGCTAACTTGAGTAATGTTACTTTATTGAACTGATGTATTAGTTGTGCTTTTGGCAACAATTGTATCCACTTTATCAATGTTAACAAACATATTTTTATGGGGACTTAAAAATACTCGAGACCTAATATGTAGCATGGCAGGTCTGTGTTACCAGTACATATATTGTCAGTAAATCACATAGTATTTTCAGACAATACTGTACTACTGCAAGTATTAAAGGAAAATCCACTGAGGTCCAACAGCCTAAAAATATAAAATAGGAATTTTTTACAAAGATCAGTTGTGCCACTTAAAACAGAAAGATATGCAAAAGTTATTCAGAAAAATACTGATAAATAGATTGAAAATCATAATTTTAGGCTCTTCTTAGCCTGAATTTGGGTTATTTTCCACAATAACAATAATTATTCTGGGAAAAAGAGGGAGGGAATGGTCTTAAATTTTATGCACATGTTATTGGTTTAGACCTACATCAAATGGAACATTAATCAGGAAAAATTATTTTCTGTCGTGTCATGTAAAAAAACCTCAGTGGAGTCCCTTTAAGTATATAGATACTCTGCAACTCAGTAAATGTTGGTTTTTTCGCGTCTAATCCCAGAGTATAATTTAACTTTCACAGTTACAACTTGGTAAATATATCAGTAATAAGTGCAATACCTTGATCACCTGATTGTGAACTGTGTGCACCATAAAGCTATAAGTGTAAAAGTTTGTACCCAGAATAAGATGGGTAAAATCTGGAAATACGTCTATTTACAATGTACAATGTATGGCAAATCCATGACATAAAATTATGTGAGAAATTGATCAAATTTAAAGATGAAATGAACAGAATAATAATCATGATTTTGATGAAATTTAAATCCATTAGATTTAGTCTTGTTTATTTATTTATTATTGTACAATACTCTTGGATAGGGAATATTTTAAAGAGGGTTTTATTCATTGACACTGGATTTTTTTTATTTTTATACATTTGTTTTATATGGGTTTATAGATACTTGACTTCTGTCTTTATAAATGTTTTGTCTTTTATGTACATGTAGTTTTAGAACAGAAACTTTGAGGTCAGTAAATTTGATGTAACTTCTTTTTCTATCTTTTTTTTTTTTTTTTTTTTTTTTGGTGTTTTTTTTTTTCCATTTTTTTTTTCATTTTAAAGCCACTGGCCTCCTGATGGTAAAATAAAATAATGAAATATTAATTCATGTAAATGGTAAATACTGATCTAGTTGGGTTTAATATGTTAATCTTTTATCGCTGACATATAAATTCTAGAAAGAAAATGTTGACAAAAACATCAGTGTATTGTGGTACTGTTTTTCTTCTTTGCATAATGTACTCTGTTACTAAAGCAGTAGCCAATATAAATAGGAGAAAATAATTTATTCAACATAGTCACATGTCACAACAGTGGTTTGAAAAAAATCCGGGTATCCATAATGCCCAGTGTCATATATAGATTTTAGTCAATGAGTAGGCCATTATCATATTTTAAGTTAAAGTTGATTTATTATATACTTATAAATGAAATATTGAGAAATATTGATGAGATAAAATGCGTATTTTCATTTTCCGTATTTTCACTGTAAAAATTTATTTTTCACTGCAGTGAAACATATTTTCCGTATTTTCACTGGTGTCTTGCCGGACTACTTTCTTTTTAATTCTGCCAGTACACAAAATTATAGGTAAAGTCTTTCAAATTTAAATGTCAAAAAAGAGAAAAATGTATATAATAAACAGAAAATTCAAGTTTTTTCTATAAATACATGATTTATTTTCATCTTGTGGCATGGAAAATTACCATATTTCACTCGTGGCTACCGCCACTCATGAAATATTTATTTTCATACCACTCGATGAAAATAAATCATGTATTTATAGAAAAAACTTGAATATCCTCTATATATTGGTCATAATATATATGATATAATTTATCATTTATAATTTGTAGTGGCACAAATTACTACAAGTATCAAAACCAAAGCAGTTTATTTGTTTCCCTTTATGTTTAATACGATCCTGGATTTGGTGTGTTCCACATCACAGGTCATGGTATTGTCATGTACAAATACATGGTAGTAGAATAAAAACCTGTATGAAGGAATTTGGTAGTATAATAAAAGAAGGTATATCCCATTTGTGAAATTAACTGTTCATTTTTTAGAGCAATAAACATTTTTAAGTGTCATTTCTATTTCTTTCAACTATATAAAGTTTTTGAAGAGGGTTTTGAAATATTAGTGAGACGGTAGTTTTTCTGTTCTCTTCTGGAGGACTTCTGCTTTAAGAATAAAATTCATAAATACAATGTACAAATATGAATATGGTTTAAGAGATTTTTTATAATCTTGATAAGATTTTGAGTGGTAGAGTTTTTTTTATTATTTGTAACAATCAATTGTTTACCCATAGTGCCTGTGTAATAATTAATTTGTTATTACATTATTATAACTATTGACATAGCTTGAAAATTTTGCATTTCGTTTAGGATATTTGTATCACTGTTGTTATAGTTTTTGTTGGTTAAGTGTAAAAAGAATTTATCTCCCTGTATTAATGATGTACAACTGTTTTGCATTAAGTTGGCAATTTATTCGCATTTAAAGTTTTATTATAACAAATAAGCAATATTTCTGCCATTAGCCATTAACAATATTTTATGAATAATGGCAAATTTAAGTCAGACTGTCATTTTTAGGTCATCAGTTTCGCAGAAAAAGTCAGATTTTTATGTTCGCTGCGGCCCCATTGTCATCATTTGAGAACTTTACTGTAGCCGATTATACAAACATTTTAAAAATTATCAACATGAAACATGGAATACTTGCTTATCATGACAAGGTATAGTTGTTAGACAAGGGGAGTAATTCTGAAAGCAATATTTTTGGAGTAATGCCCCTTTATAACTTAGAATTTTTAACAGACAAACACTAACAAGGCATGCTGTGCTCTGGTTCACATATGACTTAGCATATTTTATTATATAGCCTTTCTCTCCATTGATTTATGTTTACTTTAGGTACAGTATATGACTGCCATATATTTTTAAATCTAAAATGATTAATATCAAAAAAGTCTGTCAGATGCAGACCTGGATTATACATAATATCTACCTGTAACTGATAGTTTGACCTTGTGTTTGTTTTGATCCTGCATGATTTGAAAGCTGAGTTCAAAAGCTAATATGATAACCAATTTTTCAATTGTTCATACTTAATCAGTTATATTTGATATCTACAGATGTTTCTTTAACCATTCTTTGTTTTGTATATACGGACATTGCCTTAATTTGATTTTGGTAGAAGTTCACACATTATCATAATCAAACATACACATTTATTGGATTGATTATGATTTGTAACTTCAGTGTGACTTACATTTTGTTTTCACAGTAAAAGCTTTAGCTTAGAAATGCTTATTGTGCACAGAATACTCACTTTGCACAATTTACATTATATTTTTTTTATCTTCAAAATAAATTACTATTATGTATTTTGCACCATTCTATTATTATTGTTCAATTATAACTCAGTTACCACCAGGAAATGTTTTTGTTTTGTTTATTTGAGTTTTTTTTTTTGTTTTTGTTTTTTTTTTTTGCAATATTGTTAGGAAATGAGTTCTCTCTCAGCTGTTAATATAAAAACAAAATACTTGTAATCAATACTCGCAATCAGTTTTGCTAAGAGTGAAAGAAAGTATTTGATTTTTAAAAGGATTTTGGCGTGAAATATTACGCACCTAGTTGTCCATCTGTCTTTTAGCTGTTTCATATCCACTTTGTATACAAATATGGGATTCTCAAGGTCAAGATCAGGGTCACACTTATAGTCATTCAAAATCTTTACATAAGTGTATAAGGGAGAATACTCTGTAATGACTGTTGTTCTTACCCAGGTTAGGGCATCACTCTTTAGTGAAGTTTTTGCATGCAAATCGGTTTCTCCATAACTACTGAAAGGAAAAGATTGAAACTTCACACACTTCCTTGAAAGCATAAGAGAGGCTCACTTTCCAAGGTCTAGAATTCTTACATGGATTTTGACAGAATTATGGCCATTTTTGAACTTGGAAAAAATCTACATTATCCAGGCTCTTTTTTTACTGTCAGACACTTAGAAAAGGCAAGCACACACTCCAGATATCTTTTGTTATTTATAGAATGGATTACTAGTGCATAATGGAGAGTATTCCATGAGACAAGAGGTTTTAGCTTTTTGTGGATCAAGTTTCTCTTTCTTTTTTATTTTGTGTGTATTCTTTCCTTAAAATTTTTTGGAAACTTTTTTGATTCTGAACAATGTTAAGGATAATATTATTTATATTGGTTGGAAAATATGAGATACAAAGGGTAGCTTGAAAACTTTACAAATCAAAGCACAGAAGGCGCTGAATTTGTTTGGGTCTCAGAATGTAAGAAAGGTGCAGGTTGTGATATTATATGTATAGTGCCACCAATGCTTTCCAGCGTTTTAATTGTAGTAAATTGGCTATAAGACTAATTGCAACACTGATATTCAATCCAATGTTTATTTGACTTTAACAATTTGAAAAAAAACAGTTACCTTTACAGGGATTTGAACTCCAGACCTCTCGCTTCCTAAGCGAGCCCGAAAACCCTTCAGCCACGGTGAATTTATATGTGAACGGGCTGAAGAAAACCATATTATTCTAAATTAGGGCTTGTAATGACTTTAACTGTTGTTTAACACAGATGTAAATAATCCTGGAGCTTA